TAGCCATTCCCCTATGGCTGGGCATTTAGGCAAGTTCCAAGTTTTCCTTACTACAAGTAAGATTGAAATAAACACACACATGCCAACCTGTGCACAGGGGCAAGGGTTCTCCAGGGGAAACAGCAAGAAGTAAACATACTGGATAACAGGATACGCTCATTTAAAAAAAATTTTTTTTTTTTCTTTTTTTTTTTTGAGACAGAGTCTCACTGTCTTACCTGGGCTAGAGTGCTGTGGCATCAGCCTAGCTCACAGCAACCTCCAACTCCTGGGCTCAAGCGATCCTTCTGCCTCAGCCTCCCAGGTAGCTGGGACTACAGGCACGCGCCACCACGCCCGGCTAATTTTTTCTATTTTTAGTTGTTTGGCCAATTTCTCTCTATTTTTAGTAGAGACGGGGTCTCCCTTTTGCTCAGGCTGGTCTCAAACTCCTGAGCTCAAACAATCCGCCCGCCTAGGCCTCCCAGAGTGCTAGGATTACAGGCATGAGCCACTGCGCCTGGCCAAAAAAATTTTTTTTGATACAGGGTCTTGCTCTGTCACCCATGATGGAGTGCAGTGGCCTCATCACAGCTCACTGCAACCTCAAACTCCTGGCCTCAAGCAATCCTTCCACCTCAGCCTCCCAAAGCACTAGGATTACAGGTGTGAGCCACTGTGCCCGGCCCTAAAATTTAATAGATATGCTAAAGTACTCTCGAAGGAGCTGTACCAATTTATACTTCCTTCAGCAGTCGTGAGAGAGCCCGCGTCCCCTCAACCTCACCTCTGAAGTATCTGCCTCTTTCCTCGCAAAATGTACAACTTTTAAATGTTTGCCAAATAGATCACCAAAAAGACAGTACCATGATATCATTTTAGTTTGCTTTTCCCCTAACCAAAGACAAGGCTGAGCATCATTCTATATGCTCATTTGCTATGAATATTTCCTCTCTGGAGAAATGTCTACACCCTTAACCCAGATCCCTTTACCACCTGTCAATCCCTCCATCTCTCTCGGTCACTCACATACCTTCTCCTGAATCTGGCCCCCAATGTTCCGCAGGGCCTCCTGGAAAACTTTGTTCTTGGGCTCCAGACTCACACATCTCTGCAGGTCAAGGACAGCCTGGTCGAGGCGGCCCAGCTTCTCTAGGGCTTGGCTCCGCCGGTAAAGTGCTTTGACATCCCCACCGTCCTTTTCAATGGCTGAGCACAGACAGGAGCTCTGTCAGCACCCATGAGGCCACTGTCTCCAGGCAAGAGCAGTAGGGAAAGATCTCGAGGGCCACAGGAAGGTGGGGGGATGAATGTGGGGCTTGGTACTTCAGCCTCAGAAAAGGTGAGGGTAGCTGCAGAAAAGGAAATACCCGCAGAAGTGGGAAAGACAGAAGGCAGCTGTGTTTCCAGGGCCAGAGGAGGAGAATGTGATGGTGCAGTGGTGCCAGAGTCCTTGCCCACCACAGAAGCCCCACAGCTCCACACGAGGGCCCACATTCCCCTACCTTTGGATGCCTCGGTTTCTGCTTTGTTGTAATCTTCCTGTAAGAGAAAAAACAGGAGCCTGAGAGCATGATCATCTCCCTTTCGGGCACTAACCGAGCAGCAGGGGCACTCTTGTTCTCGATGGTCGCCCGTTCCCCACCTTCCACCCTGAGGCCCAAAACACAGCTCACAAGTGGGGATGACCTGGGAAAGTGAATGCCCAGCCAGGGACAAGCAGCAGCTGAGACGGGCCAAGCGGGCCCGGGCAGGCAAGGGGAAGAGCGGCCCGGCTCCCTCACCAGCTTGAGGTGGCAGGCGGCCCGGTTCCGGTGCAGAATGGCCTGGTCCTGGGGCGTCGCGCCGAGACCCAGGGCCTGGGTGTAGGCAGTCAGGGCGCCCTCGTAGTCTCCACATTTGAACAGCTCGTTGCCCTCCTTCCGCAGCTGCTCCACGGAGCTGGCCTGTGGAGAGAAAGGTGAGAACATCGGGGTGGGCTCAAGGCAGAGGCGGGAAGCTAGAGCGACAGGAGAGTCGGGGTCGGGAACCAAGAATACGGGAGAAGGAGGCCGGGGAATGGCAAGGACAGGTGCGAAGGTAGAATGGCGTGGGGGGATGGGTACGCACCCCGGGGGTGACGGGCCGGGGCTCGGGGGACCCGGGACCACTCACAGTCATCGCGGAGCAGACGTCCCGTGCCCGCGCAGGCGCAGTCTCTGGCGCGGGGCGGGTCTGAGCTTCGGAGGCTACCGAGGGCTGCCCCGCGCCGTCCGGCGCCAGAGGTGACGTCAGAGAGGGGCGGGGCCGAGGAGAACGAGCGCCGGAGCCGGAGCTGGGCGCTCGGCCCCAGCGCGCAGGCGCAGGGAAGTCCCCGGGGCGCCTAGTCTGTTCCCGCCGAGCCCGGAGCGTAGGGCGGAGGGCCCCAGCCCCGTCCCCGATCGCTGAATGCCAGAGGTCTGCGCTCATCGGGGACACGAGCAGCAGGCTGTAGAGGCCCAGCGCTAGGAGCGGGCCAGGGCCCCTGTGGGAGAGGAGAGAGTTTCGGGATGCTGGCCCCATCTGCTCTCTCTCTGCTCCAGTCTGCGGGGTACAGAGCCCCAGAGAGTCCGGAGAAAGCCCGGGACCCGCTCCCCAGATATGTGCAGGCATGCATACACGCACATTTGCATACAAATTCAGGGGCTCACAGGTACCCTGAAGCCACCCAAGGAGAGATTCAGGATTAAAAGCCCCTATGATAAAGTGTGTAATCCACGGACTACAACATCTTCTCAATCTTGACAACTCTCCCTACCCACTCTGCCCCACCCAACGTACACAATGGCTCCCTGTTACCCGCTTTCACATCCCCCTGAACTTTTCTTCTGTAACTGTTTACTATCATGATTTACGTGATTTTCTGTTTCCTGTCTGTCCCTCCACTAGTGTGTAAACTACAAGCCTCCCACTCCAGAATTTAGGAACAGAGCCCAGATACTGGAACACCCTGTCAATGTCCCAGTCTGGAGTTCTCACCTGAGGATGGACGGAGGCGGCAGAGCGTACAGGTTGATTTAGTACAGGACCTCAAATTCAGCCGGGCCCAGCAGGAGCCCCCTGCAGCCTGCAGGTGGCAGCAATAGGCTTCCTCCGGAGTGTTAGCCGAGGACAGAAGAAACCGAGGGTAGTGGCCGCCGACGGCATCCCCGGTGGTCTGGCACAAGTGAGGGTGGTGGGCCATGCTGAAGAGAGAAGCAAGGGGGCTGCAGACAAGCAGGAAAGGTCTGCCACTGCCCACTCCACCCCTTCTGGAGAGTAAGAGGGATCAGCCCCTACCAGAAGTTCAGGCCCCCTTTCTCCTGTACCCACCAGCTCCTAGAAGTAGCTCTTGCCACAGGGAGTGCCCCTCCCCCCCGCAGGGGGTAGTGTTGTACCTGAGAAAGGCCGGCTGGGCAAGGGTCCTCCGGCTGAAGAGCAGCCCCAAGCCCAGGACAGCCTGTCAGCAAGGGCTCGCCTCCTCCTCTGGGAGCCTGTGAGCTGTCATCTCCACTTCAGCCCTGTTTCTAGGAACCCCAACGTCTCTCTTTCTAAGCCATGACTGCAGACAGCAAGGAAATGGAAAGCAAAGCTGCAAGGCCCGCAGGTGCCATTAACACAAACCTGAAGCTTCTTTGTCACAGGCTTCCAGAGAGAGATGAAAGTGACTGAGTTTGTATCTCCTATTGGAAAATGTAGGGCCTCTGGCTCCAAACTGCCAAAGGTTTTCTGAGCTGAAGGGGGAAAGGCTCAGAGAACTACAGAGAACAGAATGAGGGATGAGAGAGAAGTGGAGCCATTCGCCTGAAGGACAAGCATTTAGAGCCAAATATGCTTCTCTCTACCTACTCTCCAACTTCAGGTTACTGTGGAAGCCCTGGAAATTCTGACCATTCCATTTCAGGCCTCAGACACATCGGCTCCAGCGTGCAGAGCTTCCCTGCCCAACTTCTGCAACATGGCAACCACCAAGACTAGCTGAAAACGAAGAACGAATCCTTTCATTAACTTTTCTCCTGAGCTTCATCTGCCCAGCTACTAGCCAGAACACAAAAGCTCCCTGTCTGATTGGAGTATACTTAGCAAACAGCCAACCACATCTCCCAGGGAAGCTCTTTGGGGGTCTCCAGGCCTCTCTTAGCCCTTATACCTTATAGCTGCCTCCCTAAGACAGGGAATTTCTCCAGAAGGCCCAAGGCCACCAGCCAGCAGAATTAGTATTATTTTAGTGCTTACCCAGGCCTGACAACGTCATGCTCCCAGAATGGCAGTGACAACACTCATCACCCCAGGGGCACACAGTAGGTGCCTGGCAACTGAAGCAGGAGACCTTACGGCACAAGAAAGCAATGCAAATTTAATTCCAGCATTGAGAACAAAGGCAGTTCCTGCAGAAACATCAGGGCTGCCAGGAAGCCTAAATCAGGAAGCAATTAGGCAGGGCTCCCAGGGTAGGCTCCAATTTTTCAGAAGGTCAGCCTCCAGGGTCTCCTGGGCCCAAAAGTGAGGCTCCTTTGCCCACAGCAACCTGGCCTATCCCTGCAGGGAGAACTATTTTTAGAGCCCTTTGAGAATTTTCAGAGCATGGACAGGTTGAAGATTGTCTTTACATGGGCAGAGAGGCCTCTCCTCGGAGAAGCTGTCTCTGACTCTGAGGCTAGGTGAATTGCACTTTCTCCACGGGCCCATAGTCCTCTGTGCCTTCCCATCTTGGACTCAGCACACTGTGAGGCCACTGCTTTATTTCTTGTCTGTCTGCCCCCTTTCCACAGACTGTGGGCTCCCAGAGAGCCAGGTTACGTTCTCGTGCCCCCAGCAGAATACACTGAACCAGGAGCTGCGATGCTGAAGGCAGCTCCCCACACCTGTTGCTCTCTGTGCCCCTGACGTCAGCCCAGAGGACGCCACGGGGCCGAGCCCAAGTGCAGCTAGTTGAATTAGAGCCTCCATAACCCGGGCCTCCCCGGCGCCAGGGGGCGCTATAGACGCTCCGTTCGGGCTCCCGCGGCCACGGTTGCCCGCCCCACCCGAGCGATGGGCTCCGAGGCGGCGCAGCTGCTGGAGGCTGCTGACTTCGCTGCTCGCAAGCACCGGCAGCAGCGGCGGAAGGATCCCGAAGGGACCCCCTACATCAACCACCCCATCGGTGGGCGCGCCTACCCGAGAGCAACCGCCGCGGCGCTTGGGGGCTGGGGACCGGGAAGGAATCGCGGAGGGCTTGCACTTTAGCACCTGCTTTGTACCAGCTTTGTGCGATATTCCGTTTAAGCCTCACAACAACTCCGGGCAGTAGGCATGATTGTTCCCTTTGTACGGTTGACACCTAAAGAGGGTAAAGGACTTGCCCACGGTCGCCCAGCTAGCGAGGGGCCACTTTTGTCCACAACCCACAACACGCCGCCTTGGGGCCCCCTCCCATCTGACTTCCTGCTTTGCCCCCTTCAGGTGTGGCTCGCATCCTGACCCATGAGGCGGGAATCACTGACATTGCGGTGTTGCAGGTAACTTCCCCCTTCTCTGCCAGGAGGCTGGGGCGGGGATCGGGGGCCTCATTCAGCAGTAGGCACCCTTTGGCTGGCATCTCAGGGCTGAGTGGGAGCCTGTCTCCAGGCGGCCCTGCTCCATGACACGGTGGAGGACACAGACACCACTCTGGATGAGGTGGAGCTGCACTTTGGGGCCCAAGTGCGGCGCCTGGTGGAGGAGGTGACAGATGACAAGACTCTGCCCAAGATGGAGAGAAAGCGGCTGCAAGTGGAACAGGCGCCTCACAGCAGCCCCGGGGCCAAACTGGTGAAGCTGGCAGACAAGCTGTACAATCTGAGGGACCTGAATCGCTGCACCCCCGAGGGTATGCTCTCACACCGGCTCTGAGGGAAAGGGGAGGGGTGTCCCCTTCTGAAGACACAGTTTGTTCAGTTCTGAAAAAGCCTGGGCGTTCTTGTTAATTCCCCAAATTAATCCTACTAGACCATTCTTTGATCTCCTTTCATAAGGTAAAAATACAATAGCTGGGCCAAGGGGAAGTTTTCAGCACGGATCATTCCATCAGGAACTCATCTCGTGGCCCTGCACCAAGCCCCCAGGAAGTGGGCAAAAGGCAGTGCTGTCCTTGACATCACATGAACAGGCTTCTGTTCACTCCTCTGCAGGATGGTCAGAACACCGAGTCCAGGAATACTTCGAGTGGGCAGCGCAGGTAGTGAAGGGGCTTCAGGGAACGAACCGGCAGCTGGAAGAGGCTCTAAAGCATCTGTTCAAGGAGCGGGGGCTAGCGCTCTGAGAGTGCTTGGAGCCATGGATGGCATAGCTCCAGCCTTGCCCAGGCGGGACAGGATTTTCTGTGCCTCCGGAGCTGTCTCCCTTTTTCCCTTAACCCAGATATCAGAGGCCCCAAACACCTGTTTTCTCACTCTGGAGGCCGCCTGCCAACTAAGCTGAGCCCCAAATGTGGGAATCAGATGTGCCCCATCCATTTCTATTGCACTCACTGCCTTTCCCCAGTCTTGGATCTGTTTACTGTTTTGCATGATGGGATCTCTGGCCCCTCAAGGACTTGGGCTTGTATTAATACTAGTTTCTAAGTCATTATGGAAAATAAAAGAATTTTGGGTAAAGGTTTAAGTTGCTGCTGCTGCTTCCCTGGCCTCCTGAATGGGGGACCAGTAGACTGCATACTTGTCTTTCAGCAGAGCAGGGTTCCAATTGTGTGTCCCTGAGTCACCTCCCTCAGATTGAGAGACTCAACCCCTCTGAGCCCGGTTCCCTTATCAGTGAGATGGGTTGTGCAGTTATCAGGGTTAGATTATGTGAAGTTCCTGATAGAGCTTGACATATAGGTGCTCAAAAAATGACAGCCCTTCCCATCAAGAAAGTTGGAAGGGATGACAGGTGCATTGGAAGAGTGCCACCTGCTTACTGGCAACCCTTGCTGGGCATGGGAGAGCCCTCAGCAGCATCATGACTGGGCCGGTGTGGGACTGCGTTCCTCCATTCCCCAAACCACAGCGGAAACTGATTCTCGCAATCGGTGCTCTGCCCTGCCACATTGCGCAGTCCTCCGGTTGCTAAGCGACAGGAACTTCCCGGAAGTGGCCCCGGGGCGGTCCTGCCCTGGGAGCCAGGCGGTAGGTGGAGTCTGAGCCGGCTGCTGAAGTTTGCCCCGGTCCGCCATCAGGTAGTGGTTGTTTTAGTCGCTCTTGAGCAGCTGAGGCTTCTTAAACCGCCTCGAGAAGCGATCATCTGGGGCACAAGGAAATTGTTAGGTCAAAGGCCACTTCATGTGGAACCACGACAGTTAATTTGTCCAAATGAAAGCCCCAGTGTAGAGCTCTACAAAAAAAAAGTAGGTGAAGGGCAACAAAAAAGTGACTTTGAAAGTAAATGAGTTTCAGAATGGCCTCAGATAAACGGATGAACAAAGTTGAATGTAATCCCCAAAGTATAGTATGTTTTGGGGAATTTTGTTTTTGAGATGGGGTCTCGCTTTGTCACCCACGCTGGAGTGCAGTGTCATGATCATAGCTCACGGAAACCTCAAACTCCTGGGCTCAAGCAATCCTCCTGCCTCGGCCTCCCAGAGTGCTCGGATTACAGGCGCGAGCCACCACACCCAGCTGTATACGTGAATCTTTCAATAAAATATTGAAGGAGTGAAGGACATTTCATCCCAAAATATGCTGAATTGTTACATTGATTATTTTGAGTCGAAAACATTGGAGAAAGGGCTAGCTGACCTGTCTTTTACTGCATGCAGCAAGCCATAAAGACTACCCTGGGAGGGGTACCTTCCCTGTACTAGGGCAAGAAAATAATGCTTATCACCAGAGACTAGGAATTGGGAACTGCAGTGGACCTGAATAAATATACTTACAGAAGTAACCCCTTCCTTCCTCTAGTTTTACACCCTCCTTGTATCTCCTAGTGCCTCCCCTAGGAATTTACTGCCCCTGGTCAGATCCCCTTTGTCTTGACATTTCTTTGCAAATTTATCATTCTTTGTCTAAAAAGTATAAAAGCATCTTGCTTTGGCCACTTCTTTGGACTTCACTCTCTTATGAAGCTCCCCATGTACATGTAAAACTAGTAAGATGTGTATACTTTTCTGTTGTTAACCTGCCTGGTGTCAGTTTGGTTTCTAGATCCAGCCAGAGAGCCCACTGAGAGCTAAAGGGGGTTTGGAGGTGATCTCTGGCTCCCCTACAACATATAAACACTAAAGATAAAGTCCTTTGGATCCCCATCCTGTTTTCAATGTCCCCTTCCAAGGCGTTAACATGTTCTATCATTCATGTACAGTGTCTATTTCTAGTCAATGTCTATACTTGTAAATACAGGTCATACCCAGATTACAGGCGAGATATGTTCCTGAGAATGCCTTTAGGTCGGATGTGTATGTATCTTGGATCCCTGATGAACAGCACATACATGGTAATAATAATAACGCTATAATGGCTGATATGTGGTAATAATAATAGAGTGTGATACCATAATAATATCCCTATACTGTAACAGTATGTTACAGAAACTATTGTGCTCTTTTAATTCCTAGGCTAATAGGAATGCTACCTTATTTTGATCTAACCAAATCAATAGTAACTTTTCCATTTCAATGATTAATCCACCATGCTGCTTAGTAAAAACTGATGCTTTCATTGGAACACTACCTTTCCCATGTTCCACTATTCTCACATCATCTTTATAATTGTTCCGATAGTTGGGCGACAGAAGCCTAATGCTTTCCCAACGAATGGTGGCGTCTGGCCTTTCTCTGAACGCTTAATCTCTTCTACTTTCATTTCCATTGTCGTCACCTTTCTCTTCGCTGCAGGCTCACCTGGACGTGCAGTGGATTTTTGCTTTTGAGGCGTGGTCATAAGGGGAAACACGGATTCTCAAAATCAAATAAAAAAGTTAAGACGAAAGTGATGCTGTGTGTAAGCAACCGTATAAACAATGAGACTAGCCACTAGTGGAAAGATGCCATACCAACGAACCACTTGGTCTTGCTCTGTTGAGGGCTAGAGTGCAGTGGTGTCATCCTAGCTCACTGCAACCTCAAACCCCTGGGCTCAAGCGATCCTCTGGCCTCAGCCTCCCAAAGTGCTAGGATTATAGGCATGAGCCACTGCCTGTAATGTTTTTTTTTCATTATAGCTCTCCTATAATGTGAATTGGAGTCTTGTGGTTTTGATTTGCATTTCCCTAATGAGTAGTGATGCTGAGCATATTTTCATGTGGTTATTGACTATTTGTATATCTTCTTGGGAGAAATGTCTGTCCTTTTGCCCATTTTCTAACTGGGTTCAGTTTTTTGTTGTTGAGTTAAAGGAATTCTTCATATATTCTGATATTAACCCCTTATCAGATATGATTTGTATTTTCTCCCATTTCGTGAGTTGCCTTTTCACTCTGTTGTGTCCTTGGATGCACAAAAGATGATTTTGTTATAGTCTATATATTTTTTTGTTGTTGTTGCCTGTGCTTTTAGTGTCATATGCAAGAAATCATTGCCAAATCCAATGTCAGGAAGCTTTTTAAGACAGAATCTTGCTCTGTCACCCAGGCTGGAATGCAGTGGCATGATCATAGCTCACTGCAGCCTCAAATTCCCAGGCTCAAGTGATCCTCTTGCACCAGCCCTCCCAAGTAGCTAGGGCTACAGGCACACACCATCACACCTGGCTAATTTTAAAAATTTTTTGTAGAGATAGGGTCTTGCTATGTTGCCCAGGCTGGTCTCAAACTCCTGGCCTTAAGCAATCCTCCTGCCTCAGCCTCCCAAAGTGCTGGGATTACAGGCATTAGCCACCATACCTGGCCTCAACACTTTTTTGTGGTAAAATGTTTATCTTTTCCCTTATTATTATCTTTTAGCTTTCATGTTGTTTAGAAAAGACCTTCCCACACCAGTGGTATAAATATATATTTTCTTGAGTAATTTTGTAGTTTTATTTTTTTGTTTTTTCCCTCTGGAACTAATTTTTGCAGAAACTGTGAGGTAGAGATCTAACTTACTTTAATAGATAGTGAGTAGTCCCAAAGTATTATTAACTAAATAATCCATCTTTTTCCCCATTTAAAATACTCCTCCTACCATATACTAAATGCCTGTGTCCCTGGGTCTGTCTCTGGACTCTCCATCTTTCCCGTCGTCTGTCTGACCCACTCCAGGTCACACTGAGTGAGCTCGTGGCAGCGAGTCCTCTGGGAAGGCCGGCAGCAGGAGCGCCTCTTCCTCACCGCCCCACGCCCCACTCATCATTCAGAACTGTCTGAGTATCCTCACACATTTACTCTTCCAAGTGAACTTCAGAACCTGGCAAACTGCAAAAAGTATCCACTCTCATTGGAATTACATTGAATTTATCGGCTGATCTGGGAAGAACCAAAATCCTTACACAGACATGATGTGTAGTATCACTGGGTGAACTTCCAGAATACTCTGAATAGGTCTTCACTTCATTCTCTCAGAGTTTCAAGGTAGGCGATTTTATTGTCCACAAATGGCGACGGTGCGAATTCTTCCTGGTCTCCCTCATCTACCTCATCCAGGGGTTAGTAGGGCCACGACGTTGCTAAGTAACAGCTGCCCTTGGCTACTTTCTGACTTTGATGGGAACGCCTGTGGTGTCTGACTCTTTAGAATGCCAATACCTTCATTTCTGAGAGAGGCCTTTATCTAGATTAGGATGTTTCTTTCTAGTCTTAACTTACTAAGAGTTTTAATAAGGGATGGATTTTAAATTTTACCGAGTATCTTTCCCACGCCTGTAGAGACCATCGTAAATGTTTCTGTGTTAACCGAAGCTGCAGTGAGGGCTCGTGGGCAGCCATACTGCCTCCTAACGTAGTCTCCCATCCCTGTGCTCCGGCCAGGAATCGAGGGTTTCTGTGGAAGGACGGACCGCAGGCCCGACTGCCAGGCGTGGTGCTGAAAGCCTTCTCAAGCTGCCTGAGCACATGGGTCTCGGAGGATTCACTTTCTTTCCAGGTGGAGGAACTAGGACCAAGCCCGTGACAGGCAGGAGCTCCTGGGAATGGCGGTGTACAGAGTACAGGGGCCAGAGAGGGGGCAGGTAGGGTGAAGGACCCCCATGCCCCTGCCACCCTCCCGCAAGTCAGTCAACACATAGGCCATGTGCCCGGCTTGCCACAGGGGTTTTGATACCTGAAGTGTCCTATGACCTCTGGCCGTGACAGTCTCTAGTGAGTCCTTCCTGCCACCCTGCAGCCCCGAGCCAGGGCACGTAGGCCAGGTGGCACAGAGTGGAGCCATCACAGAGAGCAGCAAGGCCTTCAGACCATTCGGAGAAGCATGGATTCCTTCAACTCTCCACCCACTGCTAACTCTGGGTCCCCATCCTTCTCTTCCCAGAGTCGCTCTGGTCCTGGTCACACCAGACACGCGGTCTCCACAGAACACAGGGTTCCCCTAGAGCCAGCTCTCGCCACACTGACCCTCTGCTGGCGGTTACCTGCTTAGCCTCCCTCACCTCTTCTGTGGGCCTCAGCGTCTCCTGCCTCCCCTTCAGGAAAAGGACGGGTGCTTGAGCCTGTGTCCCGCTGGTGGCCACGCACAACCGGCAGCCGAGTCTGGCACCGCCTGCTCTGACCAAGGGCCT